CATTACATACCTCACGCCTGTTTGAAGTTCCTTTGAATATAATTCACACCCAGACCGGGCGCTTGGACTATACCGTCCCATCCCATTCCGCCGCTTTCCCCGCCGGTGGCACTTAACTTCCTGACGTGCATATAGCTAACGTATATTACCGATGGCGGGCCAAGGCGGGTTGGGTTGGTGGAGGGAGGTGACGTTTTAGTTAGTTACATGCGTTGGCCGGGTCTGTGTTTCTCCACGGGGTGTATATCTACAATATGGATGACTTTGAATTGCTTTGGGTTTGGGCAGAATGATTTTGGTGGATGGATGGATGGATGGATGACTTGGGGCTCCGCCGTCCGAATGAATGCGGAAATAATGGTCTGAACTCCCCGGGATATGAAATCACATCCCCTGACCTGAATTTGAAACAACGTGGAAAACAATGATTTTTCATTAACTATGGCTATTAGCAATGGAAGCATTATATAGTGATCATTAACTTATACCGTACAACCCATTATCTCCTCCATATTATGACATTTCCAACCAAATAGACCCGGGAATAGAAATGAAGTTCCTTTCTCCTTTTCGGGGCAGATATAAGACCATATGACGAGGTGGTCTATCAATGCAATAACATCTGACATCCCAAGGACCTGACAAAGTCCAACCCCAATACCCAGGGTCTCTGCAAATCAAAAAACATCATCTCATCCAATAACATCCCGATACTTCCTAACCACCTTAAACGGCGCGTCTTTCCACATCTCCCCAACCCCCTCCCCAACCCCATTCGCCCTCACATAAGAATTCCACCGTTCCAGTCCTGCTTCTCCATTCCCCTCCCCCCTCCTTCGAAACTCCCCATGCCTTCCCCACAACAACACATTAGGCAACCACATCGGCCCCCTATATAACCTCTCCACGCCCTCGCTGAATAGCGCAATGTCTGCATCATGTTGCCACCCCTGCTCCTCCGTCCCCTCCTTCCAGTTAACCTGGACCGCAAAGACGCGCAGATTAGGTAATGACAGCTCGGCCAACGGCTGGAGCAGGTATCGCTCTGTCGCACGGGAAAACCCAACGCCGGGTAACAACGAATGGTCCAGCGATATCCGCAGCTCTGTCAGGCCCGTCATGCGCGGCAGGATCTGCTGGCATGCTACTTCCCACGCCGTAGGCGGGCGGGGGCGATAGATTGAGAACTTCTCATGGCTGAGCACGCGTGATGGGTTGTAGAGGGAGGTTTCGTGGTCAAAGATGTAGAATTTAGGCCTCTCTCCAGGGTTGTTAGGGGTGTGAGGTATTTTTCGGAATGGGGGGAAGTAGTCCAAGTGTATATAGGAATCTAGATAGTCGACGGGTAGCGTGCCAAGGTCGAGCTTGCGTATTAACTTGAGATGGTGGTCTGGGATTGATATTGAGAACCCCAGAAATGATACGGGGTGCATGTGGAATGTCAAGCTTTGATATAGCACCGTGATTGTTTCGGAGTATCTGCTTCTAATATTAGCGCCACGTCAAATGTAAATACACAGCAAGATATACATACACCTTCCGAGAAACTTGCAACAGGTTTAATGCGTCTTTGGCCCCCCTCTTCGCGTTGGGGTTATTAAACGACACAGGAGCTGCAGGCAGCTCATGCCCAACACAGCCTTGGAAATGGGTTTTAACGGTGACAGAATGCCTCAGGCACTCACAAAATCCATCGACACGATAAGAAACACCGTCGACCACATCTTTGGAGCAGCGAACGCTTGCCATTTTGCTGGCTGTAGTGACCACATGCATGCGCTCACATGAGAGGACGTATCCGTATATCATAAAGCGCACTTCAGGCGGTAGCCTGGTAAGAAACAGAGACTCGTGCTGGCAGGTCTTCCGGCGCAAGGGATTATTGTGCCATAAGCTGCGCTGCCGCTTGTTATTCCCGTTCCCGTTCCCGTTCTCCAGCTTCGCAGTTTTATCATCACTGGGAGATTGACTGTGACCTTCCTCCAGCCGGGCATACGTCATTGAAAGCCTTCGTCTCGGCTCTGTCCTTGCCAGTCCCCAGATGGCAGTCTTGCGCCGTCCCGCAGCGCGAGAAGGAGCGGTCTGTTCCCTCTGCTCCGAACGCCTATCCGAAATCCATATACAGCAGTAGACTATTGGCCCGATAAAGATCATCCCCAGGCTATAGACGAGCAATCCCAGGGCGCTTGTGAGCTTGTCCATGACCATGGATGCCATTGTGTTCTGCTGTTTTGATATAGAGATAGGAGCGAGTTTCATCAGCAGTTGAAGTTACCGCGTTGTGTGAAGAAGTATCCGAGGGGGCTGTGCGGGTTTTAGTCAATGTCAGAGGATAAGGCGGAAACATAATCCCATAGCTATCCCCCAACCCATGCCGATTTAGTTTCAAGGCGGAGACTTTGGCATATTATGTAGTTATGATGCGTACAATCAAAAAAAAATAGCGGGGAAAAGTAAAAAACAAAAAATAAACTCCCCGACAGGGAATCGAACCCTGGTCTCCCGCGCTTCTCAACGAATGACAAGCGGAAATCATCACCACTAGACCATCGAGGATGTATTTGATGGGTGGGACTGGCATCGAGTGGATTATCTGTGTTTTGAACGGATTTTTTTTTATCGACAGACCGTTCGTCTTGTTCTGGAACAACTTGTTAGTTATATATGTATGTCAGTTTATTGGAAGGAGTTGGGCATGGTCATCACCATGGTGGCTTCCTACCAGTTTGGGTGGATAATGTCTTGGATGGTAGCCGCTGCATTTCTGCTCCAGTTATATAAACTCTCCGCTGTCCTCATCTGGCTATGGGAGAGTAATAGCCAACGTCTGGATACTAGGGAAGAAGTATTCAATCCCATCCTATTTAGACAGTGAATCCTTTTCTCTAATTTTTCTGATCATTAATTGCAGTCTAAACTAGCTTACTATTCACAGAGTCCTTTATCTACAGGGCGTTCGGGTATATGTAGTTGGCTACTAACCCCTCTCGGCATTCTTCAGCATATACTCGCATGCCTTCTGTCAGATACAGACGCCAACTCATCCGATATCTCTCCCTGATTTGAAACCGGGTAATGCCCGATCGTCGGGCAATATCTAGTCCTACCAATAGGGCCGGAAAGAGCATTACTGTCGGGTGCGGAGGTATGTAGGAAATGCCCTGCTGGGGGGTTTATTCTTCCAACACAAACCATTCATTGTCTCATCAGCTCTTACTTCCCCTCAAATACTAAGTACCGAGATTGAAATGGCACGGGAGGCGTTGTAAATGTGTTCCCGCCATTAATACAGCACAATCTGCCGACTGGGCGCTGCTTCATCGATATTGATACCAAGAAAGGTCGGAGATAGTCTTGGCGGGATGCGGCAGCGGGGTTATTTCCTCCTCCACTGCGAGGTTCGAGGGCAGTTGGCTAGAGCTGACAATTTTTGAGACCTATACTCGCCGTTTTTCCTTCCCCGTTGACGTGGTTGTGGGACTACTCCATACTCATCATTCCAACCCGAATCGGGGGGGAATCAGTCGTACGAGAAGGCATATATACTCGCCGCATTCATCCCAATATAAAACAGAAACCCATCAATATGAAGCACAGACGAGCACCCTGTCCCCCCAAAAGATAACGATAGATAAGCTTATTTGTCCACGGCGCAAAAAATACACCCCCATGACCCCATCCGCCGTCTTGGCCCGGCAATCTGTGCCCTCTTAGGCCCTGGCAAGAAGTTCCGCAGGGCATGCCAAGCATCTCCCGCCCGCAGGCCGCGTCAATCCCCCTATATAATTTCCACTCCCGATCCTCTGCGAATGCCGTGCAGCGAATACGAACCGCAAATGAAGGGGAAAACATGCTTGGCCATCTATATGTATGTACGTATGCGTGTATCTTTATTGCTTTTTATGTTATCTTTTTTTGCAAATTGCGATTTCGATACCCCCATTATCCCATACCAGCGGTAAATTACCGACTGGTTGGGTTTGCTGCTGTGTTCCCCACGCACAGCATTCGACAAGAATAGAATGCAGAGACGTTGTGTACCGGTAACTACCTGATACTCAGCCCTTTGACATACGTGCATTACTAACACCTTCAACTGAATGGGCCCGAAGTCGTCGTACCGGCTGGGGCATTCGTCTTTCAGCCTCCGCTGGCGCTGTCTCGGCACGGAACAGAGAATACGTATTCAACATACGTAGGTATGTTTGTTGTCTCCTCTCCAAAGAGGGCTGTGCCTGTAACTCAGCAAAATACATTCTCCAGTGAAGAGGAAAGTAATACCAAGCCAGGCAATAGACCATCCCCTTTCTCGCCCAGACACCGCCCCTGACATAGATACCGAAAGCACGATCTATCTGAAAAATCCCGCGGCAAAAACAAAACAAGATAACCGCCAAGACCCCCGCGCCAAGCCCCAGCCCCGATAGTCCGATTCATCAACGCCAAGAATTCCGCCAAGCCAATATCCAATATTCAGCCAGCTTTTCGATCTCGCTGGCTGGCCTGACCCTGATCGACCGTACATCCACTACGCGAAGACGTGCATGGTCTGTGATTATTGGCCGTTTCCGTCGCTGCTTTTACGGCGTATGGTGCCGAGGTCGCCATGACGAAGGAGAAATAGTACGTACCATCCACGCCTCTGAGTCGGCGGCCTCAGCCTTCAGGGGCTCGGCTGCGTCAATCAACCAAACTCGTGATGGACGTCGCCGGTGGACGTTAGGAGGGGCTGCAGAGTTAAAGCCCCATGTGTGCATCAATTGTTTGATACAATTAGCGATGTACGCCATGCTTGCTCCTTAGCAAGGGCCTGGCCAGCACAACGATGTTCCCCTGATCGGCCCCCCAACAATCGAGGTCGGTTTTCTGTAGGAAGTTGGGATTATTCTACTGGCAGGAAAGACTTCTTCTCTATCTGCCCAGGGGACCCGGGCCATGTAACCAACTCCTATTTTGTATTCCGTAAGAAACACAAAACTAAAAAAACCAAAAAAAAAATTCGACACAGGCAGGATTCGAACCTACGCGCCCGAAGGCATGAGATGTCGGGCAATTCGAGTCTCACGTATTAACCACTCTACCACTGTGCCGCACTGTGGCGTATTTGGGCCCCTACTGACAATAACACCTAATACCTCATCCAAGCCGGTAGTAATTGTCGATGGGACGGCGCCAATGCTCCCCCTTTTCCCCGACACATCAAGAGAATCGGTTTCCAGCATTATCGCTGCTGATAATTCATCCCGCCATTACTACTATGTAGCCAGAGTCTAAATGACCCCTAGACAGAGCTTTTTTCTTCATATCATCATGATAAGTTCATTATGAATGCTTAGATAACTCCTTATGAAGCCCCTTATTGCCCAGAAGCCTGTGTGCACACTTTATATGAGATGCAATGAAAGAGAGGCAAGATCACATTTAATGCTCTCTATTTATAACTGGCCTTATCCTGTGTAATGTACCTAGTTATCATAATGCAGCATCAGAATTTCCCATTACTACTAACTTAGTTACCCCCAGAAATCCCATCCTCTTTGTTCGCGGTTCTGCAGTATTACCCTAGGTATAACCATCCCTGACAATTAGGCAAATGGGATTCAACATAGTTAGGATGATGGATGTAAGTTATTATGTATGTATGTATGTACAATGTTAGGCTTTAATGAAAAGAAAAGAAAGCCCTTTGTTTCCTTATGCTGTGTATGTAACTTACTGCATTCTTGGTCGGCGGCGGCCAGACTCCGGGCGCGCTGGCGGATAAAACAGCCGCGGGAAATACATAGATGGGATTTAAACAAAAGTATAGAATTCTATATCTTTATATAACCTGCCTTATGTCCTTCTTCTATTTTCTTCCCCAAGAACGCCTAGCATTTCCTCGCGACTCTCACGGATAATTTCAATTGGATTTCGCCTTACTCCTACGCAACCTACACTGCCAAGCCGTGATTCCTCATTCCTGCAATGAGCAGGCGGAACAAAGGGAGGCTCAACAGCCTGGACCCCTCCGGGCACAGCATAACATGCCAAGAACGCGCCAAGGGGAAGGGTGTGAGGGAAATAAGGTAGGGTGGGTGGATGGATGGGAATGTATTGTAATTTGTAATTAATAAATGGTGCGCTGCGGTGGTGTGGAGTGGGGGGTCTTGGGGGAACTGTTGTTCAACCCGTTATAGGTGCGGGGGGGATAGTGGGCGTATGTATGTATTGCAGCGGGGGTGGGGAGATGGATGGAAGGATAGCGCTGAGGAAAGGGGTATGATTTGCCTGTTCGAATCTGGAGACCGCCCAATGTTTTTTGAGATTATTCCCCTCTTTCTTTGCCGTTGTTTGCTTTCTTCCGGATTTCTTCGCAAATAAATGCCAGAATGAGAAAATGAACTGAAGAAGAACTGGAGTATCTGGATAGATATGTGCATAGTCAGGGAAAAAAAAAAAAAGGGATCCATCATGCGTTCATCCATCCATCTATCCATCCCCCTTTAAAGTAAGTCCTTAACATCGCCCCGCGGCATGCCAAGAACTGATTATGATGATAATGATGATGAGTTGATCGGGGCGGAGTCAAATAGCTGGGAGTCAGCCTGATAATATGGATCGATCCCTAGGTAAGTAAATACACGTACATATGTTATTTTAGGAGGTAGATCAGCCATGATGTATTGTAGATAGGTAGGTAGGTAGTTAGGATACAGTGAGGGAATCCGCTTCCATGGGCTAGGGACATGATCATGTTTAACATGAGTGGAGAGAGGCCTGAAGGGATATTTCCAGTTCGTTACTTGTTATTGAGAACCCTCTGTTGGTAGGTAGGTTCACTTTTACTTACTTTACATACTGTACTCCTCCACACTGCGGGGAGAAGCAGGCCGACTTGCGGAGTTATGCGTATAAACTTGGAGTTGAGGTTGGTTAAACTAAATAGCCTCGATCGGCTGATCGCCCTTGGCCTTCTTGGCCGACATTCATAGGGGTAACTAATCAAGCTAGTTTTGGCAATCAGGGGAGAAGTTACGTATGTTGATTACATACCCATCGCATCCTATTGCGTCAGGGGGGAGATTTTAGTTTATAGATAGGTAGATAACTACAGGAGATAGATACGTAGTAGATATGCATTGGGTGAGTAATGGGGTTAGTAATGGTTTGGTTTCTATTTGGGCCGGGTGGGATGTTTGCTTTCTTCTTTCTTCTGTGTTTGGGTTTTGGATTTGGATTCGGATTTGGAGTTGCCTGCCGGAGGTGAGGGATGATAATAAGTAAACTTCCCGCGTCCTTCCAGAAGGAAAGGAAGGAAGACGATATCATAGTTTATCTACTCTCCGTAATGTAGCTAGCTTTTAGAAAACAACATCATCTACCGTCTACGGTCTTCATACGGAAATGGCCCGGCACGGCACGGCACGGCAGCGACGGAGATAGAAATAGGAGTATCAACGTTGACTCGAGTGTGGAAAGGAAAGGAAGACCAAAAACTGTGTCGTCAGTTATCCCGCCACGCCATGCCATGCCACGCCACCTTGTTCCGAGCCACCTATCTATCCATATCCATAGGGCCATGTATGGAAGCTCAACGGATGGGATCTGTTAGCTACGGGAGCGAATCTTGCTTCCAACTTCTTCACATATGTAGCTAAAAGTTAGTTGAAGCGGTCAGTGTTATTTTTGTGTACTTGCATTCGAGAAAATTAGGTATTGGTTCACTCTGGCCACGTAACTGTACATACATATACGTTATGTCTCCGGAGGGCCACGTAACTGTACATATACGTTATGTCTCCGGAGTATGAATATATGAGGGAATTTTCTTTGCCTTGCCTTCCTTGCCTTGCCGGAGAGAAAAAAAGAAGTAAAAAAAAATCCAAGTTTAGGAGCTGCTGGTTTGATTGGCCCGGGATGACAAGGCATGGGTAGGATGGCAAGGCATGGATCGGTAGTTAGTTAAGGGAAGCCTTCCCTCAGGAGAAAAGAAAAAAGAAAAAAAAAAGCTTTTTCTAGATCCCGTCTTTCCCGTCCCGACCGAAGTATCATCGAGATACGGATAGACAAGATTTATGAGAGAGTAGAAAATAGAAGACCGGTGCCGAGATGGGTTACAGATTTTGCATTTGCAGTTTGGTTTCAGTTTTTCTTGGTTCTTAGGGCTGTGGTGGAGGGGGGAGAAAGTAAAAAGAAAAAAAAAAGAAAGAAAAGAAGCAGAGGAAGAGTTACGTATGTCTTGTCGTGTTTGCTGCGGAAAGGAAGGGAAAGGAGTGTTTCTAGCAACTTGCAAGGCGTAACTCGAGCGAGTTGGCGGGTGATCGTGGGTAAGAATAGCAATAGAGATAGCTCTCGTCATCGTGCATGGCTGGCGTGGGATGGAAGAAACAATACAAGAGATATGATTTGTTGCAGCGATTACAGAGGGAGCAAGATGAAAACTCTGCAGTCGGCACAAAACGCCTGGGATGAGAGAGTGTGGGAGAAGGGATAGGATAAATAAAATGCGGTACTTTTATTACAGACTTTGCATGCCATCCCGTTCCATCCGACGAACCCACTTCCAATTTACCACTGAACCGCCGCGTGAGGACTCAGGCTGCCTCTCACCGGTGGAAGCTGCGAGCGCCGATGATAATTATCCGCTGATGATGCGTACGGTCATTTACGGTCTGTGACGCGGTTCCTGGCGGGCGATTGGGGGCTGTGACGGTACGCATACGGGATGGCCCACTGGTCCCTGGGTAGCGCGATGGAGTGCTGAAACCAGTTGGCTCCATCTGGTCCAGTGGTCCCCCACTGCTTGAGAGCTGTTGCGACCGTGTTCTGTGCTGCCCTGTTGCGTGCTGGGTGGCATTGATATCGAGAACTACAACATGAATTGATGGATAGCAGAGGAGATGTAGACAGAGGTAAATGCATAGAATACACAATACACGGAAACATAGGATACACAGCGGACTGTCATCCGCTTGCTGCCACGCTCCAATACAGCTGTACGAGCGTATGCAACGTCACGCCGAGGGTTTTTGCAAACAAGGTCGCAACGAGCCAATCAGCAGCCCCAGATAGTCCCCACAGCGCGGTATTTTTGCAGGTCGGCCGGGCAGCACGGAAAAGTGCGCATACATTTGGCGGTACGGGCGATACGGCGGCTGGGGCTCGGCGGGCAGCCGTGACCGTACGGCGTAATTTGCAGAACCGCCCACTCCGGTCGCTTGTTTCTCTTCTTATATCTCGGCCCTCTCCCAACTCCAACTTCCTCTCCTCTCCTCTCTTCTTCTTCTTCTCTTGATCTCATCCTCTCTCTCTTCTTTTCCTTGCTGTTGTCTGCAGTCTGTGCTGTGACTGTCTGCTTCGCTTCTCCCTCCCTCTCCCCTCTCCCTCCGCTTCTTCGTCCGCCGCTGGTTCACGAGGACCACGCCAGCGCGGCCTCCCAGAAGAAGACCACGAGCTGATCCCTTGCTCGCGGAACTCACCCTCTCCCGGTCTTTCTCTCCAGTAGTTGGATAGAAAGCCGCCCGACCCTTCTGTGATTCGAATTGGCCGCTCCAAACCCCCTCCATCCTGCTCCCTGATCGCTCCAGATCACCCACTTTCAACCGCATCATGTCCGATCCGACCGCGGCTGGCCCCCAGGGCCAGGCCGTGCCCCCCAACCACCTGGGCACCAGCGTCCCCAGCGGCGGTTTCTCTGAGAAGCCCACCCACCCCATCGAGAGTGAGAAGAAGGGCCCTGTCCCCGAAGAGGAGGAGGAAGATGAGGACATGGACGCCCTCATCGAGGAGCTCGAGTCCCAGGACGGCCACATCGACGTCGAGGACGAGGAGACCGCCGAGCCCGGTGGAGCCCGTCCCGTTCCTGAGGAGCTGCTCAACACCGACACGCGCCAGGGTCTGACTGACCAGGAGGTTATCGCGCGTCGCAAGAAGTACGGTCTCAACCAGATGAAGGAGGAGAAGGAGAACCTGGTGCTCAAGTTCCTGAGCTACTTCGTTGGCCCTATCCAGTTCGTCATGGAGGTGAGTTTGTGAAAAAATTTTCTCTTCCGTGCAGACCCGCCAGATCAAGGTTTTGGGGCACGGAAATTTGGTTGGAACCGTATAA